CATTATTGAAACTTGATCGAATTGCGTAGTATTCTTTAACAACGACTTAATTAGCATAATAAATGCCCAATAAAGTACTCAGATGTATTTTAGTGGGGGGTCCTATTGGAAAATTTAATGAACAAGCCTCGTAAGTATTCCATAACTACTCATCAAGAATAATTTTTTTAAGAAATTATCTACCCATTTTTTCTTTTATTTGTCTACCGTAATAAGAATTGACGATGTTGATTTATTATAAATGTTAAAATATTTGTTAAAATAACAATAATCTATAAACGTATAGTTTATAGAAATCTAAAGTTATATTGTTATCTAAGTTATATAAAGTTATATAGCATATAGAATCGTACGATGCTTATTATTTACCTTGAGTATGAATTAAAACCCATCATTTTACGGTAAATACATCACTGACCCAGAAACAAAGAATTGCGAGTAATATTTTTTTTTAAATATCTTTATAATCCATACATAATTTATCATACCGTACTACTATATTATTTTGTTCATTTTACAAAATATTGGTGTGCGTGAGTAGATCTGCAAGGAATGCTTATACATGTTATAAACCTATTGTAACTAGTTAGTCGTTTGTTGTATAAAAAAAAAAATCTTTATATAATATTTATCGATTTAAAGAAGAATAATTCTGTTATAAACTTCCTAACTTAACTATTTTTATACTAATAATTATTAGCACTAAACCTTGTTACTTAATCAAGCCCGGATTAAGGGGGGGCAAGGGGGACACGGTTCCGGGGCCCATCTTTATTTGTAAAATATATGATTTTAATACATTTAAAATAGTTGTAAAGAATTTTTATATTTTTTTTTTATGTTCTTAATTTTATATCACGAAAAATTACTAAATGATAATAAATATTAAAATGATATTCTAATAATTGATAACGTATATATGGTAATAATTGATATTATTATTATTATTATTATTCGCATGAGGTACCCATATAATTTATATATGATAAGACGTTATATTGTCCAGTCCATGTTTTTATTATCTAAATATGGAGGCAATATAATTAATCTAACTCTAAAAATAGAATTTGTAATAATGGCAATATCGGGAAATCGTATTATGTTGATGGTTGACGGATGGTTACAGACGGAGTGGAGTTTTTGGTACGGTGTTTACTATAATATACTTACTACTCACTTTTTACTACGACCATAAGGCTATGTGTATTTTTGTATAAATAATTTTTATTTTATAATTGTTATAGACTATAGTTCAACTCGTGTAGTGTTGTATTATTTATTTCATTGTGTTATAACTTATTAGTTTATATTAATTAATTAAGAAACAACTATAATAAAGAGTGACACGAAAAAATATCTAAGTGGTGCGGAGAAAAGAAAAAAAAAGAACAAGAGAAACAATTTATTTCAAAACGGAATAAAATTGCAGGATTCTTTACAGCTTTGAATCCCGGTAAATACAACATATTACTAAAACATTCTTAAACAAAGTATTAGGTAGTAAGTGAATTTATTACATTATTACAACATGCATGTTTGAATATTTCTATAATACATAACCTGTTACTGCAATTGTTCCAACTGTTCCAAGCGATAAATTTGACTTAGTTTTAAAAACTGATGATCAGACATTAATTTTACCTCATCTAGTACCAAGTTCAAGTAGCTGTACAGAAATTGAAGAGTCTAATTTGATATCAGATACTATTCTTGATCATGATGAATATTACAAAGATCCATTTAACTGGCCAAATAATTTTAATGATAAATTTATAAGTTTTTGTATAAATAAAGGATCAACTTTTTTCCAAAATAAGGAGACCAATTTTAGTCAGTCGGCACGTATTATATCAGGTAGGTTATACTAAAAACCTTATATACAAAATATACCTACATATATATTCATCATATTAATTAATTAAATTAACAAATTTGATTTTTAATTTATACAATGTATTTTATAGTACAAATTTTTATGCAATAACGTTTCAATTTTTTATGAATTGAAATCTAAGTGCCACTAATAATGATTAAGTAACAGTGTAATACCTGTATTAATAAATATTATACTATATACCTATTGGTTCTATATTATTATAATATTTTTATTTACATTTTTAGTTTTTAAATGTGTTTCAATATCTTGAATTTTATTTATTATTAATTAATATTTTAGGAATCAAGTATCTTAGTTTTTTATCAATTAGGTATAACATTTTTGTTTTTATTTATACATTAGGAACTGATCACACAAGATATATTTCTCTATCAGTTTTTTATAGAACACTATCTAATGGTGAGAAATATGATAGAAAATGGTTGCTATATTCTCCAAGTAAAGGTTTAATATTTTGTTTTGTTTGTAAATTATTTGGTTCACTTCGAGATAATCTTTTTGTAAGCATTGGTTTTGATAAATGGAAGAAAAGTAATAGAATTGGTGAACATGAAAATAGTATTGCACATCGAGACGCTACAACAAAATGGTTATTACGGACAGATACAACTAGATCAATTAATAAGGAAATGTGTCGATTAATATATTATCTTCTTAAAGTTCTTTCGTTAACTATGATTCTAGCAACAGTTAAATTATTTAAAATCTTAACCCAGGGCTGGTTAGATAATAACCGGCTCTAGATCAACGCGTGCGACGGCACAAGGCGCCAAAATCAGAAGGGTGCTGAAAGAGATCAAAATTCAAAATTAGAAATAAATTTGATCAATTGTTGGTGACATAAATTATCTTTTATAAATAAAAAATATTAAAAAAATAAATAAATAAAAAATAAAAAATAAATAAAAGTTTTTTACGATATGATTCAATATAAATTTGATTATTATTATAATTATCATTATTTATTATTCTATAGACATGCAAGGATAGGTTGCTCTTGTAGGTACAATTAAAATTTTATAAACTATCATTATACTATTACAAGTATTATTATGTTTGTTCTCTGAATTATTTACAAATACCATATGTGGCAAATATGCACGTTTGAAAAGTTATTTTGAGCATTTATGATTATGAACGAGGCTTAGGTTATAATATGTTTAATGAGGCCCCTCCAGTTACCATAATTCTGCCTGTTTAAGTTATATATTATAGTTATATATGTTTAAGTTATTTAAGTTATATATAAGTCGTTTAAGATAGAGAATTTCCAAAATAATTCTTGTATTGAGCGCTGAAAGAGCTAAAGCCGGTCCTGCTTAATGGGATTGTTAGACGTACACACATTTATCATTAAATCGTTTATACCTATTTGGTTTGTCACGATCTAGATATTGTGTTAAGTTTTAATTCTTAACACAATATCTAGATTTTATTCTCTTATTTTATACAATTAAATGTATTAGGGAAATTGTATTTTTATTGCGCATGTATTTGTTATTATTTATGATATTATAATTGATTTGCGTACACAGACTAAGCTTGATTAAATTTATAATTGTAGATTACAGAACAATAAAATTAAACAAATTAAAACGAATATAATATAAAAAAGTTAACAGAGTAAGTAAACTCTTTTGTACGCTAAAATAATTAAATAAAAGAAAATACGAGTGGACATTGGACCGAGTAAAAGTTATTTTAAAGATCATATAATATTGCTGTCGTCATTATATATTTTAATTGATCAAAAGTATACTAATGTCAGTAATAAGTGTTCAATGATTGTTCTATTAATAATTATTTGAATTCATTGATATTGTATTAATAATATAATTTTAGTGTTTTACTAATTCGTAGTATCTTTGTAGCAGATAGTATATTTACGAGTTACAATTAAACACATAACACTTTGATAATAGATTAGATTGCATTAATTAAATACAAATATTATATGGTACAGCGACGTTCCGATTGGAAAGGATCGACGAAAATATTGTTTTGTAAGCTTTTAGCAATGCTTAACTGAGTGTATGCGTATGTGGACCAGCGCAAGAGAACCAGTCAAAAAAGTGACGTTGTGATGTCCAAAATTTAAACATGTTAACGTATATACATATAATAATGATATAACGTATTTATTTCACGTCCTTGTATGGACCAAACACAATGCCACCAGAAATTATTGTATTCGCACGTAAGTACACGTGGCACGCGAAGGAATACAAGATCAATTTTTTCATGATCGTATTATTATACTATTATACGTATTATACTCTATATTTATACATATGTAAATATATTTTTATAAATCATATACGTATAATGTATTACATCTTGGGTTATTGGTGTGTGTGTGTGTGTGTATGTGTGTGTGTATGTGCGTGCATTTATTAATAATAATTTGTATATTTTATCACTTGAAGTATACAAAAATAGCAGTAATTGCAAAAATTGCAAAATCGTTGAAAATTGCGAAAAATTGCGTTATTAAATTAAATAAGAAAACTGTAATTAATTCGATTCGTACACATATCTGATCAGATTTGATTTACCTGATATCAATAAAAAGTTGCATTATCAATTAAATCCGGTCCTTAGTTATGATGTTACTGTTTTACGTACCGAGTCTATACGCGCGAGCGTGTATTTTATCAGCCGAACATGGTGTGATGACGGGAAAAGCGATAGGTTGAGGAGCGTACGGTATTACGTTGCGTGTATCGTTCTCAAGATAATTACGAGAGGATAGGGGGAGGGAAAAGAGCCCCTGGGTCAATTAAAAGAGAAACGCTCGCCCGTATTGTGTTCACCTACCTATCGATATGGTACATATTATAATAATGATATGCACGTACAGCCACGCGGTAACGTCGCGGCCCATGTGCTTGGGGTACTATGGTGCACCGCGGATGATCGGCGGAGGATCAAAGACCGTCTCTTGCAGCAGACGCGTCGCGAAGGATACGGCGCTCGTAAGGTTGCTGCGGCGGCGGCGGCGACGGCGGTGGGGCCGGACGAGCTGCAGCTGCCGCGCGCGGCGGCGTGTTGGGGCGGCGGCGGCGGCCGGTGCAACTTGGGAACTGTAACTCGGCGGCGTCGCGCACCACCAGTTCCGTCCGAGACCGGCGCGCGCGATCATGTGCCAGTGTTGTAACCGCCCACTGCAGTCGTCGTCCACGTGCTCGTTCGCGTCAGACGGATTTTTTTCGGCGACCCGCAAGTAAACACCGTAGCACCGTCACGGGGGTGAAGGGCCGGAAGAACGTACAACGTTTTCCCGACGCCAATCCTTGTCGGACACCGCTGTCGTGAAATCCCAATACCGTGATTGGAAATCGAAAAATCGACGCGCGTAAAAAACGGGTTTTTTTTTAACAATTATATATTTAAAAAATTAACAATTACCTTATAAAACGCACAACAATTCGATCGGATTTCCTTTGCCACCGGCCGTTTCCTAAGATCTTCATGCTGGACCCCGCAGCCACCATGACCCCGAAGGTGTTGGCGCTCGCCGCGCTTCTCGCGGTCGGCACACAAACGCTGTGCCAGGGGGTGGACGGTCATTACGGGTCTACCGGAGCTTACAGGTACCCGAGGCTGGACAAGTTTCTGCACGACAGGATGGGCCTGGATAACAGGTCAGCGTTGACCGGCGATCGTAGCCTGTTGGCTAGGACCGCGATCAGTACCACGACCACTACCACCACGGTGGCCAGTGTTGCGGCGCCTGAAGACGAGGACTATGGTGGCAGTGACGACGAGGACGACGAGGAAGAAGACGAGGAGATGACTCTTGAGTCCATCAGGCTGAGGCACTTGAATCACAGAGAGAACGACAACGATCTTTTTGACAAAGTAATTATACTGCATGTATACATGCAAATTATATTATTATGACATACGTCAACGTCAGCATTAAGCACGACACAATTTATTGAATAATACTCGTGATGTCGCACGTACCTATATGCATTCATAATAATATGCAGTCTTAGGAATCAAAAAAAGAATACAAAAATATCGCGTCTTTCGAACAATAGTAATTATATAGTATAAAAGTGGTCCTTCGCGCGCGTTTGTGTGTGGTGTGCAAATGATAACTTACGTATAGATCATAGCTGTGTTAAATAGTGCACGTACAGATAATACTTATGTACAATACAATTATGCGATGGGCGAGTAAATACCGTCTAAGTGCACATGGCGAATTTAATGGAAACAATATAAACGCATTTTAAACGATTTGTTAAACTGCAAGATGTATGAAAATTTGATAATTTTAATAATTGTTAATTTAGCGTAGATATATATCTATGCACAGTTAATGACCAAATTAAGTGAGTTAATCGAAATCGTCAACTTCACACGTCGTGAATTTGTTGATGAACATTTTTGTTCATTGCAATGCCGCGGTATTGTATTATAGTATATATAAATATATATATAAAGTTAATTAAAAAAGAAAAAAAATGTATTTATTAATAAGTTCATAAAAATGAAAATGTTATTAATATTCAGATATTTGAATCAATAACAGGATCGATCTCTATGACCAACCTTTAAACGGGCCATTTTAGTTGGTATATTTTAGTTCTAAATATCACTAATCAAACCATAATACCTACTACACAGTAAAATGGCTTATTTTCATGACTTTGATTAATCTTTAGTTTTCTAAGCACCAAAATAATTGTATGACAAAGATTTTCGTAAAATGTTGGCAGTGAAATAAGATTACTTCTACAAGGTTAATTAGTAATGAACAAATTGTTATAAACTTTAAAAATAACAATATTTCTTGTTAAAATTATTTTTTGTGATACTATAATCTATGTAAACAATATAAGCCAAAAACTATATTAAAATACGCAACCATTCATTATTAATTGTTTCATCCGTATTATAAAAGGTTAAAAAAATAAGTGTTATTGCGATCTTTCTATTCGTATGTATACACGATTATTATAATTAATGCAATATTAAGTTTATTATATCAATATAGTAATTATTATACCGTTTCTAATTAAATGTGAATATAAATAATAATCTGATTAAAAGATTTTTTTATTCACTATTATAAGCCATATGCTCTTTTTAAGATTTTTTACTGTCAGAAAATATTTTTGTCAAAAAAAAAAAAAAAAAAACGATTAAATTACATACTTCAATAGGCACTTATAAAATATTTTATAACTCAAATATATTTCGATGGTTATTTTTATTAACAAATCGTTTTCATGGTATTCACCAGAAAAATTGAATAATAATTTTAAATCATTGTATTATAATTGATGAGTATTTGCTATTAATATTTGCCTAGATTCAAAATAAATGTCTAACACTTTTAATAATTCTTTACTATTAGTAAAATCGGTTACACCGCTGTAGGCTTTCATATACCTACCATTTATTTTTTTCTAAATTACACATAATTTGTCTTTGAGAAATTGGCCACATGCTTATTCGGCTATCGTACAGTTAAATGAATGTGACTGAAATTATTTATCTTTAATTTTTAAGTGTGACTTTACATCTTAAGTTTTTCTTACACGTGTTATGCAAATTAATTTGAATGTTGGCAAGTATTGAAACTAATTATTAAGCACATCAAAGTGCACGTTCATAATGACGTTCATAATGTAATGTAAAAATGAATTTTTTACGAACAGAAAGTAACAGGGTCAAAATTACATCAGAGTCGATTAATTTTTAAACAGCACATCACAGTAAAACCAAATATATTCGTTGCTTTATTCAGAATCTAAAATATTATCATTATACACGACGACGAATCAAACCACTCATAAGTGATTAATTATCTCTTTTAAAGCGATTTATACCAAAACGCTAGTTTTATTACAAGCTATTAATTATTTTTGCGAGTTATAAGTTAGAATTATTCAAATTCGTAAGCTAACAATCGATGATAGTGATGAGTTCAACAATTTAAATAAATATAGGCACGGCCGTAGCTATCAGTTATTTAGAAAATAAAGCGTTGGTGCATGTCCGTGTACACATCGATCATAGTACGTATTGTAAATGAACTAATGTATACGTGTGTATATCCATTCACCTGAACCCCGAAAACAGTGCAGGATCGTGACGAATACTTATTAATAATTTAGACCATTAAAAGGTCGTTATTAATATTTTGCTACTAGTTTTACGTCCAGTTTTTTTTTTGCTTTTGTTTTCAATTTGTATTCGTTTTCGTGGCATTCTCATGCGCAGGTAACGCGTGAATGTATTTTCGGACGCAAGCACTTAGACAAAATCGTTTTAAACAGATTTTCATTCCCTCTATCACCTACAAACCGATTTCAAGCCGTCCGTCTCATATTAATGAAGTTCGTGAGTTACAATAATGTGATAGTAATAATAATAATAATTCGCTGGTACAGAGCACTATCAATGTGAACGGTAATAATACGAATAATAGTTATAGCCATCGGGTATCAGAATTGATTGCTCTAGTCCATTTCTTCGAACCCATGCTGCAAATAGTCGCAATGATTTATACGACAAAACGAAATAACAATGTCGTCCACGCACTTTTATCTGCGCATATTTTCCACGTGGTCCCTACCGTCGGCCGACTCACCAGCTCTTTTCGTTTTCTCGTTTTCAACTAAAATAATATTGTTCGCGACGAAAACCTGCACACGGGCTGCAAAACTGCAATAATGTAAAATCTGGATTCCAGTCCAGTGAACTTTTCAAGTCTGCGCTAAGGTCCCAGACGCCCATCGTCACGTATACGCGTAATGGACGGACTCGCGCGCGTTATTATTTATACCAATCGCTCGGAACTCCAGCGCTGGGCTCTATTCCAAAAATAGACCATAGCCTCTGTTTAACATTAAATTGACATAAATCAATTACCATTGTAAACCTCGATCGGATACACCGTGCATACACGGCGACGAGTAAACACTATCCGGTCCACACAGCCGCGGACATTATTACATTTTCGGCATGCAACAATTTGACAGTGTACGGGTGAAGTCCGATCAAATACTATTCGGTAAACCAAAATGTTTTCTTTTCTCACACGAGTGAACGATAGTGAACATACAATAAAACAAAACGCGGTCAAACGATGAGATAACAAAATAATCGGAACAATGGCTGAAACATAAGGTACAAGTTAGTGTAGGTTAGTTAGGCTGAAAAATGTGGTGTTCTCGTTGCGGTGCAAGTTTCATCAAACCCGTGATAAGGAAAAATCTGCAAGGTAGTGCCGGAATATGCTGGAAGACGCATAGGAATACGAAAAGTGTTAATAATTATTATATGTCCGACGTTAGGCTGTTTAATACGCGTGTTCAATGTTTAATCTAACTTTTGTCGCGCGCTCAAGAATTTTCCGACCGTTCACTGTGTTTTTCATATTGAATCGATTTGACCGTGTAGATCAGCGATAATCAACCGGTGGTCCTCCAACAATTTATATGTGTCCCAAACATAACCCATTGAATTGATAATAAAATATAAATTTCAAAACTTATATTATAAATATAAAATAGTTACCTATATCAAAACAATTTAAGTGCGTCACAAATTCATAAATTAAATATACAAAGGATGTGTACAGAAATCAACTTACTGATTCACATCTTGACGACTTGTTATGAGTAGCAAGCAGTAACTACAAATCAGATTTATCCAAAATAGTGAAAAAACGATCTCAATATAAAAATTCACACTAATTTAAAATAAATATTTAATTCTTCTTTTTCTTCTTCTTCTTCTTCTTCTTCTTCTTCTTCTGGCCTGTTAATAAGGACCATTAAGGTCCTTTGCCGCTTCCACAATCCTTCTCCACTGATCAAATATTTAATTACATTTTTTTTTAATTTCCGTTCCGTTAATTTCGACTTGCGGCTCGTGAAATATTTTAAAATATTTTGTGGCCCAAATAAAAAAAGATTGAGTATGGCTGGTGTAGATTATCATTTACGATAAATATTGTTGATTCATTTTTTATTTATTTTTTATTAATTGGCTATAAATAGACAGATTTCGGAAGAAACATCGATATGCGTATGACGGATCGACGACGTCGAAACGTTGAAAATTGTTCCGTATTATCATTGAAACGATTATGGTTTACAAATATTTTATTGGTATTGCACGCATTTCTATTATATATTATCAGTTTCGAAAAGGTAAACGTTAATGTGATAGGTATTTATTAGTTAATTACACATCGGTTGTGTATATCGTTAAAAATATGATGTATCACGACTTCATATGATATACATTCCTGACTATATGAACTAAAGGGTTATCATTATATTTTTGAAGTATTCTTAATGATTGTAAAACAATGAGATTAATATTGATTAATATTGATTAATGTTGTTATTATTGATTAATAAGACAATTCATTATCAAATATAGTTTAAATTTTTCGTTTTCGATCTCCGGATTAGTTTTTTTTTTCATTGGTGTTTTTCATATTTTTTATAGCTGAAACCGCGAGATTTGATTTCTAATAAAGTTGGAATAAAGTAACGTAGCATTCAAACAATGTATATATATATATGCATACTAATTATTACGTCAATATTTATCGATAAAAAATATATCTCCATACTGTACAATTAAATAATCTGGGTGAACAATTACAATGGAATGTATTAACGTTTTTTGTCGATATCTGCTAATCTTCATGTCAATACATTGATGTTCGTTTACATAAGTTTACACAAAGTAATTCAAAGAAATAAACGAACGTCACCGTTTACATTCATATCATAATTTAATAAAGCTCTGCAGTTAGCATAGTAAGTGAAAATTGCATAATTCGCTATACAGAATGAAAGACATACTAAATAACGGTTTTTGCT